CTGGCAGCAGGAGCATGGGGGATTGGAGTTGATTGGGACACAGGAGCATGGGGGATAGGAGAAGAGCTACATGGAAGTGGGTGGCAGTGCTGGTATTTTTCTCCAAGCGCCAGCTCCTGGAGCCAGGTGATTATGGGAATCTCACTGCTCGCAGTTTAAAACAGCTGCTGTGCTGCGTGAGTGCAGAGTGAGGAGGGACCCTGGCCTTAGAACCAGGAGGCAAATGAACCAGCCCAGCGTTGCTTATTGGTGTTTAACTCACAATTTTTAGTCCAATCTCATGATTTTTTGTAGCCTGATGTGTGGCCCTGAACTGCTCAGGGCTGGTCAGGCCTAGGAGCACAGGGCAGGCAGGGGCCTTCCACCATTCCTGCCAGGCCCAGAGCTGCCTCTTGGGAGGGGGGAACAAGAGGGACCTGCTTGTTCTGTCCGTTAACCAGCCCCCCTTCATGGCCCAGCAAACACGTCACCCAGCTCCCTGCCGCCCCCTCCCCCATTTGGAAACTGAGAGCGTGCTGCCAGGGATGTGGCCTGCTCCCTGCAGTGACACAGGTTCTGTGCCACCAGGGGTGTCCTCTCTGCCGCATTAAGCTTCAGCTGCCCTTGTTGGGGCAGATTTCTGTCTGTGAGGTGGCATTGGAGGTGAGCATCCTCCCCCCCCGGGTTTTGGACAGCTGCTTTGTGCCTCAGTTTCCCCACCCATGTCCAAGGGCTAATGCCAGGCTGTATTCATCAGTGGCTGCAGTGTGCTGGAAATGCACTGTAGCATTTACCAGGGGGCTGGCGCCCCCATTAGAAACAGTCCCTTGCTGCCCCAGGGTTCCTCCGCCTGCGAGCACCCCACCCCAGCCATTCCTGGCCGCCCCCAGACCGGGGCTGTTCCTGGGGAAGCTGGGATGTCTAGGACTGGCTTGAAGCCCTGGGTGTCGGTGCGGCAGCCAGGGCTTGACTGGTGAACCTTTATCAGGGCCAGGCCTGTCCCTCCTGGTACAACGGGAGCCAGATCACAGGCGCCTCAAGGCAAGAAAACCACTTTGGCCTCAGGCAAAAATGAAGGCTTCTCCAGCCCGACCCTCCTGCTCCCAGTGCGGGCCCAGGGTTACTGCTCCTGCCAGCTCCCACCAGCCAGCGCCCCCCCAGCAATGGCCCAGGGTCCCTGCACGAAAGGGGTTAATTTGGAGGCCTTGCAATAGGGTTTGATTGCTCCCAGTCTCATTTGGGCTTGTGATTTTTGCATGTTCCTCCCTCTGCGCTGTTCTCCTCAGCACTCTGCCCCCCACACTGGAGCAAGAGGCCTCTGCAGAGCTCACCCCGGATTGCACTGGCTCTGGTGTAGCTCCAGTACCAGCCGTGTGTTAGCCTGGTGTAAAACCCACGAGAATGGTGCCTCAGGCCCAACCAGTCTGCCTGAAAGAGAGCGGCAATGCAGACATGCTGCTAAGAGCTTCATGGCCGGGCTGGGGGGGGGGGGGGGGGGGGGGGGGGGAGGGAGCAGCGCAGCCTGGGGACACCTCCAGTCTGGCTAATGTGCCTGCAGCACGCACCGAGAGGGATGGGAGTGGGTATAACTGAGCTCTGTGACCCCATGACTGGTGTGGCGAAAGTGACTAGGGACGGGTTCGTTACCTCGTCACTTACCACATGAACTTGTCCTCGCTTTGCTAAGCTGACTATTCCCAGTCTTTTTAATTGCTCTGCCTACGGCAGCTGTGCCATGCCCTAAGCACTGGTATCAGACGGCGTTGTGCCTTTTCTGGGTCTAACAGTGTGACCAGGCCGGCAGGTAGTAGTCAAGGTGTGGGCGTACCATGGTTTTATATCGTGGCAGCACACTCGTGTCTGGTTTTAGTCACTCGCTCTTTCCTAATGGGGCCTAACTTTCCGTTAGCGGGTTTGCCTGCTGCTCACCAGTGGATGTGTTCAGGAAATGCTCCCCGCTGACTCCAAGCACTCTGGATAGTTGGGATTAGTTTTTCCAGCATGCATTATTTTGCACTTAGCAGCGCTTAAGTTCAGCTGCCATTTTTTGTTGCCCAGTCACCCACTTGCGTGAGAGCTCAGTTTTGGACTTAACTATCTTGAGTAATTGTCTATCGGCTATAAATTTTGCCACTTTACACCTTTTCCCAGTCCATTTACAAATATGTTGAACAGCACAGGTCCCAGTACAGCTCCAGGGGGTGAGGGGGAACACCTTTATTTATCTCTCTCCATTGTGAACACTGACCATTTATTTATACCCTTTGTTTCCTAGCATCTAACAAGTTACTGAGCCATGACAGACCTTCCCTCTTATCCCATGACAGCTTACTTTGCTTAAGTGCCTTTGGTGAGAGCCCTCATCAAAGGCTTTCTGAAAATCCAAATACACAAGATCACCCGGCTCATCTTTGTCCATGTGCTTACTGACTCCCTCAAAGTCGTCTAGTAGATTAGTGAGGCATGATTTTCCCTTTACAAAAACAGTGTTGATGCTGCTTCAGCATAGTGTGTTCATTTATGTAGGTGATGGTTTTGTTCTTTAATATAATGTCTCCCAATTTACCTGGTACTGAAGTTAGACTTACCAGTCTCTAACTGCCAGGATTGCCTCTGGAGCCCTTTTTTAAAACTCAGCATTTGATTGGCTAGCTGCCAGTCATCTGGTACATGTGGTTTAAGTGATAGGTTACATGCCACAGTTATTCTGCAATTTCATAGATGAGTTCCTTCAAAACTCTTGAGTGAATCCCCTCTGGGCCTGGTGACGTACTACTGTTTAGTTTGGCAATTTGTTCCAAAACTACTTCTACTGGCACCTCTAGTTGAGCCAGTTCCTCAGACCTGGAACTAAAAACGACTCAGGTGGTGATTCCCCCTCCCCACCCCATCGCTTCTACAGTGAAGCCTGCTGCAAATAATTATTTGTTGTCCTTAGCAAATTGCTGTTCACATTCTTTCCTGGCCTGCCTAGTTATACTTTAACACTTGACTTGCCAGAGTTTATGCTTCTTTCTATTTTCCTCAGTGGGATTTGACTTCCAGTTTTTTACAGGATGCCTTTTTGCCCCAAACTGCCTGTTGTACTCTGTTTAGCCAGTGTGGCATTTTTTCGGCCCTCTTATTTGCAGTATACATTTAGTTTGAGCCTCTAGTGTGGTGGTTTTAAATAGGCTCCATTCAGTTTGCAGGCATTTCACCCTTGTATCTATTCCTTTTAATTTGCATTTTACTGACTTGTGCAGTTCCTCTTTTTGAAGTTAAATGCTACTGTAGTAGGTTTGTTTTATATGTTACCCTATACAATGTCACATTTAATTACATTATGGTCGCTATTACCAAGTTGTTCAGCTATATTCATCTCTCAGACCAGATCCTGTGCTCCACTTAGGAGCAAATCAAGAATAACCTCTTCCCCTGTGGGTTCCAGGACCAGCTGCTCCAAGAAGCAGTCATTAATGGGGTCTAGACCTTTTTTCCTCTGTATCCCGTCTTGAGGTGACATGTTCCTACTCAATAGGGGAAATCCCCAAGTATTATTATTTTTCTGTTTTGTAACCTCTCTAATTTTTTTGAGCATTTCACAATCACCAGTCTGGTCAGGTGGTCCGTAATATATTCCTATTGCTCTGCTGTACTCTTATTGTTCAAGCATGGGCTGTCTATCTGTAGAAATTCATGTGTCCTTTAACTCTATGCTTTCTTTCCCATATAGTAGCACTCCTCTACTAGCACTCCCTACTGTCATTCCAACATATTTTGTACTGCTATTACCATGTCTCATGGATTTCCCTCATTGCACTAGGTTTCAGCAATGTCTATTATAGCAATAGGCTTATTTAATGCCAAGCTCTATCTTAATATTTAGACTGCTAGCATTTGTAGAGCATGTCAATAGTGAATTGCTTATCTTCATGTTATATTTAAATGGACTCTTTTTTGGTTACCTGTCTTTATCTTAGTAAAGAGGATAGGAAAAAGTTGGTAGAGTTCCCTTTTAATAAATCCTCCTCTAAGGGATGTCTCTACACAAACCATTCACTCCTCTGCACGTGTCGGCTTTCCCTTAGACCCTTAGTTTAAAAACTCCTCTATGACCTTTGTAATTGTACATAACAATACCCCTCTTTTGTACACCATTGGCTCATCCACATATTGGAATCCTGGTCCTCATGGATAGAAGACTGGATTCAGGAGACTTGGCTCTGCCACTGACCTTCACCTGGCTCTGCCTCAGTTTCCCATCTGTAAAACAGGGATGATACTGACCTCTGTTGCAAAGTGCTTTGAAATCTGCTGCTGGAAAGCACTGTGTAAGAGGAGTAGGAAACAGACAGCGCTGTTGAAAACGTATTTATTTTTTTCCAAATGATCTCTCAGGCAATAAATAAAAACAAACATGTCAACTTTCTAAAAAAACCATACATATGTACATCTGACACACCTACAGACATCTGTAGCAACAGGACCACTGTGAGTGAGGGGGCTGGGCCCAGAAATTATTGCATTGCTCTCTGGATTTTATCCAAAGCTGCCTCCTTGCTGTACCCTTGGAGAAGCATCTGTGGCCACCTTGGTCAGAGAGGGCAGCCAGCTGGCCAGATACTGGGCAAACATCAAAAGCAAGGATGCTCTCCTATGGTGGGCCACGGTATTTTGTTACTTAAAGTGCAGGACAAAAGATCAGCGGCCATTTGAGGAGCCGGTGCTAAAGCAAATAACGCACCCTCATATGTGTGCCCAGACAGCAGTGAGACTGTGGGACCAGGGGAGCATTGAGGCCAGGCCACCTATACCCAAATGGGCAGAGGGTAGGGCACCATCCAGCACCACCAGCTGGAGCTGCCATCTTGTGGATAAAGTGTTAACCTGAGGTCCTCCTTGTTTTGGGCCCATGCTCAGTGAAGATGCCCCTGGGAGCAGGAAAGGCCTGGTGACGGGAAGCCTCCCCTGCCAGGTAGAACTGTCCCTGAAAGTCAATACCTGCTGTGATGCCAAGGGATTAACACCTGTTCCCCCCCTCCCCCACCATGGCACTGGCACCAAGCTCCACTTCTCTCTACACTCCCTGCCCTGCTACAGTGGCCTGGACTAGGGAATCCACATTAAGCGCTCACTGCACACAGCACTGTCAGCCATTCACCCCTGAGCTCCAGTGTTAGCTGGCTGCCCCACAGGTGCTGAGGGCAAGGTGCTCACCTCCACCACACTCCACATGGAAGAAACTGCAAAGATGACAGAGATCCAGTGACACAACAGGTCCAGCTAGGTTTGAATGGTTTCTTGCTCTTGGTAAACAGTGTATTTAAATAGATACAGGTATAGATTCCCCCCCCCCCTACAAACACTGAACAATACACTAGAAAAAAAAAGGGGGGGGTAGGTGATGGCAGTTTTGAACCCTGCTCCCAGGGAAGAGGTTACAGACTACATGGTGCATTTGCATTAACAGCAGAATTATGTGAAATGCAATTTTGCTCAATGCTAACTGCAGGCTAGTGAGAGTGCTCTGTCTTAACTGATCAGATCACTGAGGCCTTGGCTTGGGGAGGAGTTACCATTTTGGTGTGGCACATACAAAGGGACATTTTCCAAAACCCAAAACTATGACTGCAAGACATTTTACTTTTGCATGTGCCAAGCAGCTGGCATGTGCAAGTACCCAATGTTGATTGACGCTCAGAGGTGCAGCTTAGCTGCCTATGTTGAACATTTGAGCCAAACTATCTTCGTTTAACAGACTGGTTTTTAATGCAAGGATGAATGTTCTACTTCCCCTGGTAGGGCACAGAGTTTATTCCTTTAATGGGTAATTTTAGCACATTCCAACCCAGGCTGAGTCAGGGGCCAAGCTGGTGTGTAAGGGGGGCTGAAGGAGAAGAGAAACCTCTGCTCAGAAAGGGTTGATGGGGGCATTATTCAGATACCATTTTGGCAAACACTATTGCTTCCTTCTGCCACAAGCAGCCCACCCCAGGGCAGAACAGTCAGCTTGTCCAGCAGTATTTACATCTGGGGAACTGATGGTTCTCAGCTGTGCAACTGCTCTGGGGAGAGTTTCAAACAGAACTAAGGGACAAATCCCATGGAGAAATCAACACTGCCAGAAAGGCAAGGGAAGAGCTGTCAGCAGTGAAAAGTGTGTCCCCAAGTGGCCAGAATGGTCCAACATCCCAGACACAGAAGAGGAAATAGCTCCATTAGCTGCTGCTGCTTTGTTTTTTATTTCAATCTGCTGCGCTGGAAAATTGGGCTTGCTGCCATGGACCCCATGGTTGTCTCTACACCACCCAACAGAAATAAAACCCAGACTTGTGGCAGTGAGGCTCAGAGCTCCCAGGTTTCAGAGCCCAGGCTCCAGCCCAAGCTAGAAGGTCTACACGGCTGTTCATACCTCCCAGCCCAAGCCCAATTCAGCTGACCCGAGCTCTGAGATTCGCTGCTGCAGGGTTCCCGGGGTTTTTTTGGGCAGTGTAGACATACCTTGTTAGCCCCAGATCTCAGTAAAATAAATGGGGCTTGTGCCAAGGGGACCAGGATCTGCATGCAGCTAGAGTGACACTAGGGACATTGACAAGGGGACAAAAAGCTAGTAACCATTTTACCAGCAAATGCAGTCTCAGGCAGGATAGAGTCTTAGTATAGCTGGATTCATTCCTGCCCATGAGTCTGGGGTTGGAGCAGGGTATTGCAGACTCATGGCTTTAAATGACACCATCCACACCCAACTGCACTGTACATTCAGAGTGGGAAAGGCCTCCTGCATCCACAGACAGGACAGTGACCCTGCCAGAGGTGCCAAGATTCTTCCCTAATGGAGAAAGAACACTACTCTAGTGGAGAAAAAGGCTATTCTGATTTGGGGAATAACATTTCTGAGGCAGCCAGAGCAGCACCCTACTGTCACTGATGCTTATGAATTACTGATCACCATAGCATGCCATGGTCCCAAGCTCCCAGCATGGCACTGTTACCTTCTATCCTCAGAGGCTGGATCCCAAGAAAGCATCCAGGAGCCTCAGCACAGAGTCCCCATCAGCTCATGCCAAGATGGACACAATGTTCCAGAGGAGTGTGATGAGTGCAGAGCATGTGTAAAAGCATTGGCCATGCCCAAGTAAAGAAACCACCCCTTTTCTGATGCAAGATACAAGCAGGGCTAGGAAGGAGACAGGATACTACCCGTATGAGCTACCACTATGCACAGAGATTGTTCCTTGGATGGAAGAGTCCATGGTGCAGTGACTGAGTGATTTGAACTCACTTGTGTCCAGCCTGGAAATGCACCTGTTAATCCCTGTCCCCCCGACACAGGAGAATGGTGCAGTATCCCCACACTTGTCCTTGCAGGCCTGTGATAAGAGGATTTGTTCTCTAGCTGCTTTGAGACCTGCATGCTGTTGTGCTCATAGTTAAAACATAAATAGGTTATAGAATCACTGACAGCACAAGTGTTGCATTTCAATACTCAGAGGAAAGCACTGCAATAAATCTCATGGTCTCAAACTTTGTTTTTAGCAAGTCCATGTTTTAAAAACCAGAAGTCTCCTGCCCAGGTTAAAAATATTTCTGCTGGGTGTTTGTTTTGGGGGATTTTATTAAAGAAATATTAAGGGGAAAAAAATCAAAACCAGGCACTTTGGGAAATTGTAATTTTCTCCCCCAAAACGAAACTGGTCAGACACATTGTCAGGATTTGTGGAATTCACAACTTCAAGCCTTACTGCTTTAAAAGCAAAAAAATAAAAATAAAAACTAACTAAATAAATAAAAATGAGGTAAGAAGTTTCTCTATGAAAACAAGGACCCCTATAGGCAGCTTGAAGCCAGTGGCAGACCAACCGTTATTGCTCGGTGTCAAGGTGAGAGTGGCGGGGCTGGCTAGCGATGCCAGGCAGTTATTGCAGTCTCATGGCTGGCAGCAGCTGTGAGGTCAGCATCCCTCGTGCTGGAGGCACTGCCCCAGTGCCTTAGTTAGTGCCAGGCGCTAACAGCTGGGTGAGGTGGTGATGGGGCTGTGCAGGTAGGGGATGCTGCTGGGGGTCGTGTGCATGCCCACGGAGACTGGGAAGCTGAACACAAACTGGGAGGTTGGTGTGGAGGAGGCCTTGCCCCGTTCTCTCAGCGTCCCCGAGGGGCTGGCAGCCTCGGCAGCACAGGAGGTTGCCAGTACTTGGGACTCAAACTGCAGCAGCTGACCCATGAAACTGAAGTTGGGGGAGATGATGCTCCTGCGCTGTTTGACAAACTCAAAGGCCTCCTCTAGCTTCACGCGCTTCTTCATCATCAGGTAGGCCAAGCAGATGGTGGCAGAGCGGGAGATGCCAGCCTGGCAGTGCACCAGTACCCGGCCATGGCAGTCCTTCACCAAGTCTGGGGGGCAGAAGGGAGGGAGGTGTGAATAGCTCATCCTGCTCACATGGACAGGTCAAGAGCACCCCGTGCTGACAAGGGGCCACTGGCACCATAGACAGGAGTTGTCAACAGACCAGGCCACAGGAATAGGGCATCTGTAGGGAACAGCAGCCACAGCCCTGATGGCGATGGGGGAGCAGGGTCACAAGCTCCAGACAGCTGCTTGCCATTAGGCACTGCTGTCAGAGGTCTGAGCACCCATGGCACCCGTGCCTTCCACTGGGGCAGCAGGCACTCATCCCTCTGGAAAGCAGGCCCCAGAACTGGCCCACAGCAGGCACCCAAAGTGAGTGGGTGCTTTAGGGGAGCCTTTCCAAACCAGTGTTCAACAGACAGTGGGGCCTGCCCCACTATTGGGCCACAGGAAGGTTCTAGATAGGGCACGGGGCCCTGGGCAAATGTACACTTCTCCTGGCCCAGAGGGGAAGCCCCTGGGGCGAGAGAATAAGCCAGCCCTCCCCCTACCCCAGTATCTGTCTTCCTCCACAACCACCACACAGCTTCCTGGCTTAGCCAGCAGAGCACACCTACCTATATACTCTATTGCTTCCATGAACCAGGAGCTGATGTCGGCCTTGTGGTTATCCTCCACTGGGATGCACTTGTACTGATAGTGTCCTTCGAAGTGATTGGGACAGTCCGACGAGACGTTCAAGAGGGCTGTGATGCCCAGTGTGTCCAGCATGTCCCTCCGGGCTGCGTGATATGCACTGCCAAGGTAGAGGAAGGGAAGGATTTCGACTGGACCTCCCTGTTTCCGGAGAGAGCAACACAAAGGTCACAGTTAGAGGGGAACATCACTGGAAGGCCAGGGCAGAACATCACGGGCAGAAGGGGAAGGAGGCTGGGAGCAGCTACCAGCAAAAGCCAGCAGGGCCTGCATCTTCAAGAGTGACGCAGGATTTGGGGATCATCTGTTTGAGTGGCCTACTCGGGGCCCTTTGAAGGGGCCTGGTTCCCAGGGTCTCATGTCAGGCCACTAAGAACAGACATGCAAAATCACTCAGCTTCTGGAAATGTAGGCTTTGGCACCCAGTGGGCAAATAAAACCCTCCAGCTCTGGTGTGAATCCCAAGCATCTCCACTGAAGCCAGAGTCACTCTTGGTTCAGGCACATGTAACAGAGCAGACTGCACACAGCCATGACAGACTAGTCTCCAGAGCGGCACCCATTACAGCAGGCCTTCCCAAATGGGTTACCTGCTCAACCGTGTTGGAATGGATTGTTTCCTCCCAGGAGCCCAAACAGCATGGGGGACACCCTTTGGAAGAGCAAAATGGTGTCCTGCGCACAGCATGACCTCACATGCACTGTACATGTGAGGTCATGCGATGAGGCTCACAAGTGATGAGCCAGGAGATGGTGGTTTGGGCTCTTTTGTAGAGACCCCCGCCCCGCTCAGGGTGGTATAAATTTCACGGCATGTGGGAAAACCCTTTAAACACTGTACCAAGGTCAGTGTGCATAGTGCTCGGAGCAGGGCTGAAGGACAGGGAAGCTACCTGATCATGCAGGGGGGTCCCACAGGAGCTGCACCCCAGTTCGATTGGCTCCATGCTGGTTGGTGGAGAAATGCTGCTCAGGGATTTTGTTTTTGCACAGAATTCTGGGTACTCTGAATAAAACCTCTCGTAACCTCCTGCAATTAAAGAGACAGGCATGAAGGGTCACCCTGGAAAAGTGATTTCATTAGACAAATCTGTCCGCAGAAGGCAGCCTGCATTCCCTGCCAACCTACAGATCAAGGGCTGACAGAATGCAGACATGGCAGAGCCGCTGCAAAGCAGCTCTACATTTGCCACTAGATGTCACTGCTGCAAGGAAACTGCTGCAGGGGATGGCATCAGTTATTTCTAGTCTCCATCTCATTGTACCTGGCTCTCGGGGCAATGCTACCAGTGCACAGGGACAGGGAGGGGTCGCCTAGGACTGCTAGACTACCTGAGGAACATGGCACGTCACCTTAAGGAGCCATTCTGAGCTACTGACCCCACAAGGGGCTATGCTTTGCCCCTCCTCTGGGCTCCCAAGGAGGCATCATCAGCTCCAGGAAAACCAGTGACAGACAAGAGCATTACAGCAGCTCAGCACTTCCCAGGATTGGGCCCTTGGCTCCCAAAGTCCCTGCCCAGGGCTAGCTTTTCCCCAGCCCCCGGGTGGCCCTTGTGATCAGCAGACACAGCATCTCACTTGAAATCCTGCAATCAAGGTGTGGGGTGAGCACTGTGTCATCAATACACTTCTCTTCTCAGTGACGTGTGCGTTCCCATCACCCAGCACTCCCTCATCCCAGCTGAGGAGAGACCCTCTTGTTTCTTCCTGTCTGTCACAGCATACCTCCTCCCCACACTGAAGCTACATAACCACCGGGCTGGTAAAATCCAGCCCCTTGTCAGCATTTCTATAATTCAAGTAAACAGAAGCGCCATCCTGCTACCCACACTGGGCTCAGGCCATTGCAAGCCCCCAGTGCACACAGGGAAGTTGCCATTTACACTGGTTGATTGCTGTCCCATCCCCACCCTGCAGGGGCAGAGATCATTGGTCCTCTCCTGGTCTCCTTGCACTAGTGACACTACACTAGTGGCAGTTATCAGGGCAATCCCCAGTACAGAATCGGTCTTGGATTATTCCATTTTGTGGGTTGCAGCACCATGACAAGCCAACGCTGACCTGCTCCCACTGAGGTCAGTGGCATAGGATGGGGCTCTATGTGAGTGTGGGTACATGCACTCAAAGGGCAACATTCCCAGGGACTCACAAGACTGCCCTTGCCATGCATGCAGCATGAGAAGACACATGCCCAGTAGCCTTGCTGCAGGAAGGGCCCCAGTCTGCTGTTACACACCAAAGAGTTCCCTGCAGCGGAGCTGTGTCCAAGGCACAGCTGTGCACAAACTCATTTCTGATCCAGCTTTAGTCCAGGGTCTGATTTGTAGACCCTGCCAATGCCATCATTCACACTCTCTGCACAAGCCTGGCCTCCAGTATCTGTCCCCCCGCCAACACAAAAATCCCACATGGGGCACAGTTCTAATCTGATCCCCATGGCTCCACTGCACTCCACATGGTTACAGTAGCATACCACCAGGGAGGGACCAGAACCAGATGTCAACCAACCTTGTGTCACAACCTCTGTTCTGAAGGGATGGTTTTTGTGGGCCTGTAATTTATACTGCAGAAGTTCTGCACCAGTGGAGCATGACCCCAACCCTTCCAAAGGGTATCACTGTGTTTAAAGAGGGTCACAACGCTGGGGCTGTGAGGTCAGCACGGGGCTGAGAATCTCTGGTATAGGGCATTAGTAGCCAACTGTGACCACAGTAGTAGCCTGTCTAACCCTCCCCACCAGTTGGGGAAGGGGTGGGGCAGACTCAGTGCTCATTTATCAATCGTCACTCTTAATTATTCATACTGGGGCAGTGCCCAGAGACCCCAGTAGTACTAGGTACTGTACATACACATAAATACAGCCCCTGCCCCATCAAGGTGACAAATCCAGATTTCACATCTCATTTATAATTTCATTTTGCTTAAAGAAATTTGCCCAAATGCAAGTATAGCTCTGGGAAGTGGTTAGGAGCAAACTAGCACCTTCACTCTCTTAGGGCTGCTAGAATCTTTCCCCAGGTTGCTGGGTCTTCAGGCTGAAAAATCCTGTTGATCAGTTAAGTATCTTTTAGCTTGGAAGGGGACAGGGAAGCAAGGTTTTGTCAGAGTAGATAATAGGAGAATGTCCTGCCATCCTTATATGCTCAAGCTCCCAAAAGAAAGAACAACCTTGTGAAGGCAACTGTTCTGAGTTGTTTATACCAATGGGGGAAAAAAAACCGCAATGACAATGACAATTTTGAAGGGCAAAAAACATAACATCTTCAAAGGCGCCATACTCCAGAGACTGAAAAGCCAGCTGGACAGAGTGCCAGAGTAAAACAGTTGAGTGCTAGCTCAGTGATAATGGAGAGCAGAAAACAGGTTAATGCCAGCTTTCAAAATTAAACGGGTGGGGCCATGACTGGGTAGTTTGTGTCACTGTCGAAAGGAGGTGACATTTGCAATGTCTGAGACTTCTCTTTTCAAGCGACATTGGCCTGCTACTCTATCTTCCCATTTACGCTTTTCACTCTAGTTCCATCCTCTTGGAACTAGGACCACATTGGAGTTAAGGTTTTTATCTTGGACTTGTTGTGAGTTTATTTGGTTTTGTACTTTCCACCCCCCTGTGCTTAGCACCAGATCTAACAAGAGTTATATGAATGACTAGGGGGGTGGGGGGAGGGGAAAAAAAAACCACACACAGACCGTTTACTTTGCATCTCATGCAATAATTTACACTTGTGTGAAGCAACTGAAATTCACCTGGTGTAGTCACTTACACCTATGCAAGTTAGGTTTGTTACCAGATGAGGATGGTTTTACATGGTGGGGGAAAATCAGATACTTATTGTCAATAAGCGCTGGATCTGTGCTGCTCTACCTCAGCACAAGTCTTGTTCTTGCCCTTTCCCCACACTGCAGTCCTCTCTGCTCAAAAGAGCTTTTAAAATTAACTCTTGGCCCAGTTCCCCCATGCCTTGCAGTTTATGGAATCAGACAGACAATGCTTATCCCTGTAAGGGTTTGCTGTATCACACTTACATATATTAAAAAAACCCACACAAACAGATCTGATGATGCTGTGGAAACAGCTTGTTGGTTTTCATAATTGTTCATGTGATATTCAATCACAGATGGCTTCATATTTTCCTACCAACAGACAAAACAGAACTGTTATTGATTGGCTCTCTAGTGCAGGGAATCTCAAATGTCATCTGTTTACCTCCAGGGATATTTCTCTTTTAAACACTAGTGATCTTTGAGTCCTTGTAAATGTTGACCTCTGTTTAAAAATCCATACTGTGCATGTAATTAAGCTGTTTTATCACTACTGCAGGAATCTAGCCATACTAGGGCCATGTCTACACTACGCACCTTTTAGTGACATAGCTGTGCCACTAAAAGGTGTGCTGTGTAGCTCCTCTTTGTCAGCAGGAGAGCTCTCCCGCCAACAACCCCCCCCTCCCCCAATGAGTGGTGTTAGGAGCAGTCTCCTGCCCACAAAGCACTGTTCACACCAGCACTTTTTGTTGGTAAAACTTTTGTCGCTCAGGGTGGGTGTTTTTTCCCCCCACATCCCTGAACATCAAAAGTTTTACTGACGAAAGTCCAGTGTAGACAAAGCCTAAGGCCTATGCTTTCTAGGCTAGTTGCTGAAATCTTAATCCACAGATGTGTTTCATCCCAGCCAGACTACTGCAGTTCTGGGTTTGCAGGTCTTCCAATTACTGTTCCTTGGTGGCAACTTCTATAAAACCCAGCAGACTGATTACTGGGCCTACATTTCTCCTTCCAACATACTGCCCCATATTAGAAGCGCATTCACTGAAATACAGCAATAGGTAGATTTCAGGCATGCTTAGTTATCGGGTCTTTTAGGCCTCTAAAGAGATCAACACATCAAATTCTCATGTACCCTTATTTTTGTAGATCTCAGGCTCTGCATTTTTCCTCGTTGCCTTTGAGGTGTGACTCTGTAGCATAGCCAGCAGCAAAAAAGAATTGTAATAAGAAGATGGAAGAACACCCACCGCACAACAGGTGAGCTGACAGCCTCTGCATTCATAGAAACACTCATGCTCTGGAAGGAATAATAGAAAAGGGTAGTACGACAATTCATTGTGTGCTGGTGGGGGTGTTACATGACACCTTCTCTTTACAACTGCTAGACTCCCACATGAGGTTACCATTTTGCCAGAATTCTGGTTTCTTTTCGTTTGATACCTAGAAACAGTCTTAAAACATGAAAACTATTTTAACTAAGTCTTTAGGGCTTGGATCTTAAAGTCATCACACCCAGGGGAAACTCCCACAGACACTGGTGCTGTGTGTCTCTCAGAGGACAGAGCTGAACTGCAGCATCACGCCACAGGCTGTCCTCCACAGTCAGCTTCCAGATGGCACCTCTGTCTTCCATACATAGGAACTGACGACAAGGGGTGAAATCCTGGCCCCATTGAATCAAAAGGTGTTTTGCCATTGACTGCAATGGGGCCAGGATTTAATCTCAGATTCAGATCTCAGGCTTCATTTAGGCTGGAGTGACTAACAGCAATGAAGTACACCTCTACCCCAATAGAACATGAATTCGGATAGAACATGGCAAAGTAGTGCTCCGGGGGGGGCGGGGCCGCGCGCTCTGGCGGATCAAAGCAAGTTGGATATAATGCGGTTTCACCTATAACGCGGTAAGATTTTTTGGCTCCCGAGGACAGCGTTATATCAGGGTAGAGGTGTACTCACAATCTGGCCCTAAAGACAAGTTAACTGTGAGCAATGCTTCTTGGCTGTGCAATTCTTTATGTATTCAATCCCGAATAAAGGTTGGGATTTAGATCAAGTTTGATTGCACTGGTAAAAAAATTGAACTGGAAATTTGCATTGACTGTGTGCACCTAGTGGGGAACAGGCCCAGTTTCAGCAAAGCACTCAAACACGTTCTGTTGTATGCACGTGCTTAAGTTCATCCCTGTTCACCCCCTATTGAAGTCAATGGGATTGTTTTGCAGAATCAAGGCCAGAGAAATGATACCTCCCTCACACAATTTGCTGCCTGATTTAAAAATCTGATGCTAACATTTCGCTCCATCCTGA